GCAGTGATGCTATACGGGCAGCTAAGGCAAGACCTGAACTTGGGGGATGGAGTCCTTCACTAAGGCCTATGCAACCAAACTCTTTACAGAGTTAGTTGATATATCAAAGCTTTAACAATGAACTTTCATTCTCTTGTAGCTGTACTTCCACTGTAGAGTGATAATCTGTGATGCTAGACAGCCAACATCAGACTTCCTTTGTGCGAGGAGATGTATTCCCAGAAGAGAGCGGCTTGGTAGGTATAGGGGAACTTCTTGTAAACTACTTCTCAACATGTATTCCTATGTAATAACTTCAGTACGAAATCTTTATGGTTGCTGAATGCTACAGATTACTTCAGACTAAACATAAGGGAAAAACTTTACAAATCGAGTGCCGAGGGTTTGGAACACTCCTGACCCCAGCAGTCCTTTGCTGCCCATGTGCAGGGGGGCTGGACCCAATGATCTGTAAGGTCCCTTCCAGCCCCTAGCAACTATGAAACTTGGCAACTAAAACTGCAGGTACAGTATAAGTATGCACAATAAAAGCAGTCTTCAGTGCCTCTTCCAGATGATACCAATAACTAAAATGTTTCATTAGATCGGAGTGTTGAGACACGCATGCATGGGCACGTGGCTTCTGGAGCAGTCATTCTGGAAAGGAAAATGTGAATGTGATACTACTATTCAGCAAGGTAATATGAAAAACCCCAAACTACTTAATGTACTAGAGTGCTGCTGTAGTAGTACATGGTAGGATATTCTGTTACAATAACTCTCCTCCTTTTTCGACAGCTAAATACAGGAAAACATCTTGAACCCAACCTACTCTCCATACAAAGATGGAAAAATGATCACTTCAAGCTATCGTCTGTCCCTCTTGTTCATTAACTGCAAGCGAAATCTGAAAAGGTACAACATGCAGTACAAGGAAACAGTAAGACTAGATAGAGAAGTAATATTTAAATAGTTTACAATACAGATCAGCCAATTAGACCTTCATCTTTAGATCACTTTTGAATCTAGTCTACCATTAAGTTGTTAAGGAGTCTGTGATGGAGTACTTCAGACTTTTTCAATGTCAGTAGAATAAGATGCTTTTCTAAGACATTGGCCCAAAATCAAAACTGACCATTGGATACCCTATATATTCAATGTCACCAAGTTGCTAATGAATTTTTACACATTGTATCCCTCTCCTCCTGTCTCAAGCCAGCTATGTTCTTTGCCTTCTAAATGGAGATTGAGAATGTGGACAGCACTTCTAACAGGCTGTGAGATGTTGACAGTTTGAATAAAGACGAGCAATGCTTTAAGAAATGACTCATTTTAATGTTCGACAAGATTGCTTCTCTTCTCTCTACAAGGAGTTGCAAGCATTTGTGATAACACATGGGTGCAGTCAGGCAGCTGTTACTTTTTGCAAGACTGCTGTTTTAAAGAACTCCAAGTGGAGTCTAATCTATTTGGGAGGAGACAGGGGTGGGAACCAGCATACTCTTGCCTGACTTGTCCTTGCTCTGGTATTCATTTGGAATTAATCTTTTTTTACCCATGAGTTAGCAAGCTTCACTAGCATTAAACAACCCTTAAATTTGTTTTAATGTAGAAAGAGACAACACTCGCTATTTAGGCACAAGATGGCTCAAATACAAGTCTACAGCAAGACATGGTATTCAGCAACTCGGGATGCTATAAACTATCTTAAAACTGCACTGTAGCCAAGATCATAAATCATTTTTTAAATGGAACCGAATATCACTTAACTTTAATACCAGTACAAATAGTTTCATATTCAGAGAAACCTGTCATCAAAGTTGCTTGCTGAGGAGATGGCAAATAAAATCTTGTTTAACTACTACAATCCTCCTATATAGTCTTTGAGACCAAACATTTAGTACTTACTATTTGTCAAAAGGGATTTTGAAATGAAGTGATTCTAACCACAAGTCTGACTGCTGGCAAGCATGGAATATATGAAGTAAGGGTATGCGTTCATTGCCACTAACGGATTCAACAAAAAATAACTTTTAGATTCTGTTGCATATTCATTCCTCACACTTTACCTTGACAGCAACCATGCCAGAAACGGAAGAAAAGATATAAAGATCACTTGCATAGTTCAATGAAGTGAAGGCCAAAGTGTAGTAAGGAAATAGTTCCTAGTAGCTCCTGTCCAGTTACAGACTAGTGAATTTTTTTACAAAAACAGCCTATTGTTGGGTGTTAAGAACATAAGAGTTGCCACTTACTGGGTGAGACTGTAAGTCCATCTTGCCCAGTATCCTGTCCATATAGTGGCAGTGTGTGGATGCTAAAAGGGAATGAACTAGGTAAGACGAGTGGTTCTTCCCCCCCCCCCCCCCCCCCCATAATCCTTCTTGCAGCATTTGAAAGTCTAAGAAGTTTTGACTTGGAGACAATAACCCCAGCTCCGGTGTATCAATGGCTACTGACGTCCCTTTTCCTCCAAGAATCTGTCCAATCCCTCTTTAAAATCTGGCTAAACTATCAGCCTCTACAACCTCTTGGGACAATGAATTCTGATGTGAAAAATAACTAACTTTTTTTGTTGGTTTTAAACTTGCTACTTCTTAGTACAAGAGCTAGGGCTCATAAAGGGGAAACTGAGCGACAGCAACTAACAACTTCTTATTTACTTGGTATTTTGTAAACCCTTATTATGTCCCCTCTCAAGTATCTATTTTTCTAAACTGAATAGGCCCAACATCTCTTTAATCTCTCTTTTGTGGAAGTCCCTCCCTACCAATAATTATCACTAGTGGAAAATTAAATTGGTCCTTTTTGACATGGGCAGCAGGGACCGTGGAGAGAGAAGTTCTCTGACAAAACTGGAGAACAGTTTCTTATCCTTCCAAAAAAAAAATCAACTAAGTCAGGCAAAAAATAAAATGCTGTCCTAGCTGTCAATATGCTGTAGCAGAAGAACACAAACCAGGCCTGCCCTGGCTTCTCTGACTAGCAACCCCTTTTTCCTCTCTCTGGAGTTTTGCATGCTGAACAAGAATCCTTGGCCTATCGCGATGAAAGAGGCAGTACTCTGCTTTTTCTCCTGTTCTGTACCAAGAATATAAATATTTCAATGTGCAACTGGGAATCCTTCTTAAAACTTAGATTTTTACTTGACAACTTATGAATGCAAACAAAGCTCCCATCACTTAAAACCTATGACACCATTCAAACAAGTGATTTTCTTCAGAGCCACTTTAAGGTTGGAGCAACTGCATAATACATTCCACTCTTTGTTTTATGAGGGCCCCTGTCCTTGGTCTCTACGTGCCTGAATAAAACAAACGTTGCAGAGTTGGTTCGGGTGTCTGCTTTCCACTGACCCTCAAGCTGAAAGATTCTAAATGACATCTCCAGTAGAGGAGGTAGTGGTGCCTGTTGCTATAAAACCAAGGGAGCAATAAGAGAAAGCTACCTGAGAAGAAATGTGAGAACTTCAAATTGGAGAACCCTATATACTAAGGCACAGCTCCTAAACTATTTTGGACTGAGCACTTCTTCCTACAGGGCTTCTGAGAATAAATCAAGTTGCTCTTCTTACATTGAAAGTGTAGTAGGAAAATGTAGCTACTCGGCCAGGCCACTAGAGACGAGAGGTAGTGAGTAGGTGGCTGGTGTCCTAATGGAATGAAGTCTTTTGCCTGCCCAGGGCTTCTAAATATCCATTTTGGCTGATTTGTGAACAGGTACGTATGTGGGTACCAGCTCAAAATAACATTAAGCATTATAGCAAATGTTTATGCGAACTGAGTTAAAGGGTACAGAAATGCCAAAGAAATGCATATTTCTCCCTCTCTCTCTCATAACTTTTCTGGAGTATTTTGAATGTTGTTAGTTTGGCAAGTGGAGGGATCACTTGAACATGCTCTTAGAGCAAATAAGTGACTCTCTCTTTACAGTACGCTTCTATCTTAAAGGCGTGTGGTGGAAACATGCCTCTTTTTCTATGCTGGGGGGGGTGGGAGGAAGAGAGTTCACCTCCTCCACCCCTACGCATCTTCTCCGTACACCAGTGAGAGACCTCTTGCAGCTTTGCTTGAAAAAATGAGCTCTTGCTACTAGGAAGCTCTTCTATGTTTAGCTTTCAAGAATCATTTGATAAAATGCATCTAAATGTTAAGAACAGAAGCGAGGACTCTGCCCTCCCAACACAGGACAACTAGCATGTAACTACAACCTTATGCTCCCTCTTCCTTCCTTCTCTTGTGTTCTTGGCTACAGCCCCACCCCTTCAACAGATAGGGCTAGGACCGCTCTCTATTCTATCTGAGGAATAGGATGTTATTTTGGAAACTGGATACATGCGCTACCCCTTCGAGCACTACTGCGCTTGACAGCTAGCATTCTTTTCTTGGTCTACTGGTTCCAGGTATGAGCTTTGGACTTGCAACTCACTCCTCGTACAAAGCATGTGGTTGTAGCATAGTTATGTTTATTAACACAAAAAACCATTAAATATTTAATGCTAGCTGAAACCTGAAAACATTTTGCAATTAAATTTTTATCACAAAAGTATTTATTTAAATACAGGATTTCTAGTTATCCTTTGACCAAATACTTTAATGGAATCAAAACTTCTCACCCTCAAAAAAGGCTACATAAAGCTGTCCATGTGTAAACACAGGCATAGGAATATAAATATATATTTTATCAATAGTCTGTCCTTGTGATTGTTCATAATCATAGAACAGGAGGGCCCTTGTACACATGAGGACATTGCCCCTTTTAGTGGTTTAATTGTCCTTTTTAACTATTTAATTGCATAACGATGTACACATGCAGCAGCATATTTTGACTTCTTTACATGGCAAACTAAAATACATGGATGTACACATCCTGTGTATTTTAGTCTACTATGTAACACATTACAGCAATATTCCTCATGTGTACAAAGGCCCTAGCTGGAGAAAGCAGCAGGGATGGTGCATGGGGCACTGCAAGCCCAGGCATGCTCAGGGAAGCTTGGGCTTGGGCCTCCTGTGCCCCATCTCTGCCACCTTATCCAGCTGCCAGCACACCCAACCACCCTCCTGCCATCTTCCTGGGGCAGCCAGCCCATTCCTGGGCAGGAAGGCGGTGGAGATGGTGTATGGGGTGCTGGCAACCTACCAAGCCCAAGCTTTCCCAAGCACAGCTGCAATCCACTGCCTGCGTGCCCCTGCCTGGAGTGTGCAGACTGCTGATCATGGCTCTGCCCTGGCCCTGGACCAAGCTGCTCCTGTTGCAAGATCCCACCTGCTCCAGAGCCCCCTGCCCTATCACGGGTCCTGCCAGCATGGCTGGGGCCAGTCTTCATGGAAACCCTAGCCTTGTGCTATAATAGCACAGGTGCAGCTGGGGTCTCCATGGAGACCAGCCCCAGCCATGTGGGCAGGGCTGCTGGGAAATGAAGTTTGGCTACTGACCTGCAGGCCTGACTCTGCCCTCCCCAGTCTATAAAAATAACATGCTTATTCTATCTGTCCAGAGCACTGTCTGGCCAGAGCACTCTGGTTGTTGCGGTAAGCACTGTGACTGGCTGCCAAGGCAACCAATCAATCAATCAGAGTGCTCTGGATAGACCAAATAAGCCTATAATAATAATAACTTGGTTCAGGCAGTCTATTTTCGGCCAAGACATGAAAGCATACATCACAGGCCTTATGTGTTTACCTAGCAATCAATATTTGTAAATTTATGATCCAGTTAGCATAATTCTGCTTATTGGACAACTTTGAGAGAGCTGCATAGTTGTATTAACCATATGAAAAGGCATAATTCTCTTCTTTTGTGCACCCCCTGGGAGGCCTTTCTATAAATGCTATGCCCCTCCTCTTCCCTGCAACATAGTGAAGCCCAAATTTTGCTCCTGAGAAATCTTTCCTTATTCAACGCAAGCCTTTGTAAGATTTCTATAGAAATAGAA